CAAAAGTCTGATGTAAATTATAAAGTTTTGTATTTAAAGGTCATCATGGTTGTTTTTAAATTACCGAAACGGGTGATGAACTTACAAATACATCAGGCAAATTATTTTTGACCCTATCAACAGGTAACGGGGCTTAGGCCAACCCAGCCCCACTTCCTCCGCCTTCCCTGAGGTGAATTACTTGAAAAGAGGAAAAAAATACAAATCACTTATTATGACTAAGCTAAAGTGCAATGACGTCAGCAGCAATAAGACCTTTCATTGGTCCTAATCTTACACAGATATTAATTTTGTCCAATACGATCCCTCGGAATCGATGGAAAGTTTTTAATAACCAAGCAACTCTTTTTTTAGATAAATTAGAAGCCTGCCGATTTAAAGGATGCATGGTTAACCATTGTCTCGGGAAGTTAAGTAAAGGCAGAACTGTTCAGGGACCAGCATGCAGTTATTAAAAGTTGTTTTCATGCTTTTGATATGCAACAAAGCAAAGTGTCAGTTTCACGAGTTAGAAGCAGATTCTATAGATTTTTGTCAAACGAAAGTGATTGAAGAATGTTCAGAACATTCGAAGGGGCTTTTGGAAGCTATCGAAAATGGCAGTGGGCGACGGTTGGAGGAAGAGTGTGACTTGCTGCAAGTAAGTAAACTTGCCCTCAAATGAAACTATAGAAAGTTTTTATTCAGTACTTAGCAAAATATAGAAATTTACAATATAAACTAGCTTAATTTTAGTGTAACAATGGTGTTTTCGGGACTTGTTGGAAAATCGAATTATTTTAAAAACATACGCAGCAGCAAAGCCGAACGAGAACATCTTGTAAAATTTCTCCTTTTTATTAATAGATTTACTGAAAAGGTTTTTCCACTGCATGGAGTGTTGTTCACACTTCATCCATGGTAAAATCTTCTTTTTCTTCAGTCCTCTGTATACTCGCTTTAATGAATTTTCGTTTGCGGGAAAACTCTAGGAGTAACGTAGCCCAGAAGTAAAATCACCTGCTTCTCTTTAACTTAAACTCACTGGCAGTCGAAGCAGAGTCAGACTCGAAACTGACTGACTGAAGATACCTGTAACTTTGCATATATATTTAAGGTTTAAATCTGAATTTGGAAGACATTGCGCAGATAGAAAAACAAAAAATTTAACCAAATTTCCTGCTACAAAAAAGAGTTTGTAAATAGCTCGGCCACTACTAGACCTTTGTGAGCATCACTTAATAAACGAAATGGCGCGCCACGCCTAGTATTCATTGTTCTGTTTTCTCTATATCGTTGATTTTAACCGTTACTTTTGGCAGCTGCCTGATGATTGCGTTGCAAGAAGCATGAAACTCTGAGTAGTAATAAATGTCTAAGACCACTTAATCCAGCACCATTAGTGTACTCGAAGCATACTGTATAATAAGGTAGTTGCAGAGTATGCTGGCCAAAGGCGCCACTTCTGATTCACGGGAAGTTCAGTCTGTGAGAGTTTTTGGATTCGAAAGAAGAACGCGCGTAGGTCAAAATGGTATGACTAAGATTTCGTGGGATCTTAAGATCCAGACTTGTTGTCCTCGACAAGCGGTTAAGATCACCTCTGATAATAGATACAGCCAACCCATTCGCTACCAGGGTAAAGAGGTGAAGCGTCTATGGAACTGTTAAAAAGTTGTGCCTGTACCGATCGTTATTGTTGCCCTCGGAACAGTCAGCAAAAGATTCCATCTGTATCGAAAGAAAGCAGGACTTGACGGAAGAAAGCAGCCATCAAAGAAAGCTTGTTTACTGGGAACAGCAAGAATTATAAGAAAAGTAATGGATACCAAAGGAGACGGGTGGTCACCTGGTACCAGGAAATGAACCGGTTGTAGGACACAGAGCATAGAGATTGTTAATTTCTTACTCACAGGTCGGTTGTTCAGGCGACGTAATCTTGGGGTTGAATTTTAGTTGAATCTTCCTTTATTCTCTTTTATTCAAATAAAACAACCCAAAACAGGTTTTTGTACCACGCTGTGGATACAGCATGGCCAAGCGGTTAGAGCGCTGGCTGGATTGGTTCTTGGAAGTCTTAGCTGAGTTCAAATCCTCGGCCACGCTGTAAAAAGCTAACTGGTTTGCCTGCTGCCAGTTGGGATTCTTAAACATATTATGTTCTATTTGAATTACTGTTTCATTATCCCTGAAAAGCCCCATGAGGGGAGTGCCTTAGTTACGTATTTACTATTATTATTATTATTATTATTATTCTTTAAATATTATTCTTTATTGTTTGCCTAACAATATAGTCACAGCTGTGTTAACCCTTCTGGGTTTACCGCGGTAATAAATGACCGATGTCAGTGGTACTGGCTTAGACAACCCAAGTTGATCTGTGATCAATACATTCAACAAAAAATAAGTACTACTCATACGTTGAAAAAAGGTAGAAACGAGATTGCTCTACGAATATAGCCAATGTATAAAGAAATACTGAGTTGTGATAGACGTGCAAAGGAAAAGACCTGTCAATTTATTAAAAACAAAATAGAAAAATATCGCCATTTTGATCTTTCTGACTGTCTGTCGCGATGATGAAAATTGTTACTAGTTTGGTACACGTTGTTTAATCCTCTCGAATGAAAAAGTGCAAACGCATTTCGGGTATAATATACCACAATCCTGGATAAACGCAAAATGATATTTCTACCATTTCATTTCAATTGTAAATCTCTTGGAGGGTGTGAAAGTGAGTAACTGCACACTAATTAAAGGCGGGCCCCGCTTTACAAAGAATTTATTTGAGTGCAACGTTTTTCATCATACCTTGAGGGCCTGTTTACATGAAGGTGGGGGACCCCAGGTAGGTGAGGTAGCCCACCTGTCCATATAATCTCCCATTTTAATTTGGTCATGTTTACATGATAGGTGACCCGCCACATGTGTTACCTCACCTATCTGGGGTCCCCCGCCTCCATGTAAACAGGCCCTAAGAATGATTTGACTGATCTTACTGCGCGCGACGGCCAATCAGTTTCACTCTAAGCGTTGTCTAATAGCAAAAAAATTAAAGTGACTTGCCGAACAAATATTTAGCCTCAAACGTGACCTCCCATATAAAATAGTGACTAAAGAAGCCAATTTTCAAAGTGAAAAAGTCAGAACGTCTACAAGGTCTACAAAGTCAGCAGTGGTTTATGTATTTTTTTTATTGACGTCTCTTCTACAAAATTCATACTCTAAAACTAATTATTCTTATACAATTAGAGCGAAAATTACGTGAAAAACGTGAGCCACCCTGAAAGTTTGGGTTGTTACTTTCGTTGTTTCGGCCTCGGTTCGCTGATCATAGTTTCAAATTTGGCGCTCGGAGTGCGCTTAAAGTTCCCAGATATGAGGTGTCGTTCTGGGCGATGTGAGCAAAACCAAGACAAATTACTGAGTTTATCTTAGTCAACTTTTTTGGGTCAAATTTCCTTTTCTAGGGAAAACGCCAGCAGAGATTTTTTTTAATCAATGGCTTTTTTTTATGGAGATTAACAAGTGCAAGCGAGGTAAAAAGAATTTCATGGGCTGATTAAGGATTGGCCCCTACATTTTGAACGTTTTTGTGCAGGCAGCATAGCCGAGCGGTTAGAACGCCGGGCTTGTAATACTCAGGCCTCCAGTTCAAGTCCCTCCCTGATAGAGCGATTTTCGTATGACCTTGAAATGAAAACGCGCGATCAAAACAGAAACAACAAACGAACGGAAATAGAGCGATTTGATTGGTTTATCGAACAGATACAAACGAACGCGGTGTTTGGTTGGTTGAGCGAACGCTCGGGTAAAAAAACTTCATTTCCCAGAACTTTCTAGAAATCAACCGATACTTCGCTTTGACGTGATACTGCGACATGATTGTCCAATCGAACAATGCCTTTTCACGTTAGGGTTTTCTTTGGCGGGAAAACGAAGAGGCCATGTTTTGACCTATTCATCCATTGGCTGATGAAACAGATAACAAACACTTACCGAAACCATTTTTCAAGGTCATACGAAAATTGCTCTAACCTGCGTTACAGACGATACTAAACTCTAGTTTAGTGCGTCTGAAAAACAGCGCTGATATCCTTGTTCCTGACCCTTTCCTATGAACCAGGATTGGAGTACGCGCCATGATAGGTCTGTTTGGCAGTTCGTTGAGTCCTTTGGGGGAACACAGAACAAGGACCTCGGCGCTGCTTCGCAGACGTTACTTTTACCGAGGTTAAATTACGTCTGCAACGCAGGCTACCCACCCTGACCGCTAGCTGGATTTGTTCTTGGTAGTGCCGTGTTCAAATCTCCGGCCACGCATGTAAACATTCACTGGTTCGCCTCCAACAGTTGGGATTCTTAGCCATATTATGTTTCATTTGAATTATTGGCTCACTATCCCTGAAAAGCCCCATAAAGGGAGAGAACAATTAAGTATTCATTTCTTTTCTCGATCCGCCCCTGGAACAGCTTCTTTATCTTAGGGCCTGTTTACATGGAGGTGGGGACCCCTTGTACAGGTGAGGTAATCCGCAATAGTCACCCCAGCTATCGCGTAAACGTGATCAAATTAAAACGAGAGATTATATAGACAGGCGGTTTACCCCACCCAAGAGGGTTACCTCACTGCTTGGGGTCCCTCACCTCCCTGTTAACAGGCCCTTACTGTAAAATCAGCGAGAGTCTTTTGAATACTCTTAACCTCGTCCCAGAGCGGATGGTGCCTTTCACACCTAAGTAAAGAGAAAAAAACCAGGGAATATTTCTTGCACACATTCAAGCGTAAAAACATAATAATTTGACAGGTCTAATTACCTTCTTGACATTTTATTGACATACTTGCTCCAGGATAAATGCAAGCGGGCGAAACCAAGACTTCAGGCTACCCCGCCTTTTTTTCTACCCCAGGCTAGCTCAGCTCGGTTCGCTCTCCGATTTTCTTTTTCGCCCCGCTATTCTTGGGAGTCTGTTTGACGGCTAAAGTTTGTCTATTTTGTTTGTGTTTACCTCCTTTACAGGCCACCATTGATTGTATATCTGTCCCTCGTTGCGCTGGAAACCTATTGCAAGGATTTCGTTACTTGGTTTTAATGACAGCAACCACCCTTAAGAAAAGTTCACATTCCTGTCACAAACTTGACGTCAAAATGTTAGAGCGTTATGTGAAAGGTATGTTGTTGAAAGCCTGGGAACGAGGTTGGTTGTTGACTTCTTTTGTGAGTGAGATAAATCAAAAGAATATTAGATCGTGGGGCGTGGTGTCAGGGCGTGGTGTTTAGCAGTGTAGGGTAATTAATCTGACAGAGGCAGGACTAGCTCAGTAGCTACTGCACGTGTAGCATTAACCACATTGTATAAACTCTGATCAAGACGACCAATCACAGCGCTCGTAGGATTAACTAAATTGTATAACCTCTAATAGATCACGGGCAACGACCAATCACAGCGCTTGTAGCATTTACTACATTGTATACACTCTTATCCTCCATAGCTCTCCACCAATCAGCACGCAAAAAATCACTCAGTTACTGTTAAAAGTAAGTTCGAATATTAATTGACCCATCAAATTCCTAATTTTCCTGCGGAACTTGCCCACCTGGAGCCCATTTTTGTAGAGTATGAAGTGGCATCTTTTGCGCTGTTCATACATCGTCTTTTTATGTCCGTAGAAACTCTAGGCGAGGGGAAGGAGAGCTCTCTTGGTATTAAGAGTATTTTCGACGAAAACGTCACTTAAAAAGTGAAGTCGGTTGCTTCAATCGTCTTTATCGCCCTTATTCCATCTCGTCCATTTCGTCAAATGTTGGCAATTTTTTCTGGAGTTGAATTCTAAAAGACTGCATTAAAGTTAAGTAAAAGCAAGAGGAAGTCGTTGTCATGTGTTCACGTCCTCCGGAAAACGTGAAATTAGGCAGTTTCACATCGCAGTCGTGCACTGACTCGAACTGACGGTAAAGAAATGTACAAAAAAGCGTGATTCACGTGCGAAAAGTTGTTGTTTTGCCAATCTAAACCAATTGCTTTTTTGCCGTTCTCGTTGACGCCGACGTAGTCGTTGCTTAAGCTCCCTATTAAAGGAACTGTGTCATGGTTGTCTAGTTTCTTTTTGTTCTATTTTCAGCTTTTCGTTATGCGCCATGGAACTTAATATAAGAGAAGAAATTACTTTTAAATGACAAAATCACAACTTCTAGTCCTAGCAAATATACCTCCTAAGCAATATATTAAACGTTACAATGGAAAAAAAAATGAACAGAAACTGAACTTTGAATAACTATTAGGCTAACACGTATTCAGAAACCCACAATTGCAATCCGTGTTAGTCTTGTTCAAGTTTGTCCATCCATGCCTTTTTTAGATTTGCTCTGTTATTTATTCCTTCTTTTAATGTTTTGAGTTTTTTTATGTTTTAATCAATGTGGTGGCAGTTCCAGCGGTTAAAATGTTGAAAAATTTTGTGACTTACAGACAGCGGTCAGCATAGGGTATCTGTTAACCAGTGTCATGTCATGTCTACATTGCAGGTTACATTGTAATAGACAGTGGGAGAGAAGGAGGAAGTCATGAGCTAACTTAGTATGGGACATCCATTTTAACTAAACTAACTAGTTCTCGGTTGACCAGTCGTATTCTTTTCCACTGGATCCCGGGCCCCCGTCTCCTTCAAAACCGCGTCCTCACGGAGGGAATTTGAAACACGGATATTGAGAATAACGTGCCTGTGTATTTTTTCTCCTAGGTTTGAGTACCGCATGCGACGAAAACAAAATTATAAAAGACACATGTGATAGAAAATGTAAATGTGTAAATGGCGACCTACAGAGCTGCTCCAGAGTACGAAAAGAGTTTACTAAAATGAGTCTCGAAGAACGAACACGCTTCATAAATGCTTTCAAGCTGGTTTCGACTGATCCACGCTACAAAGACGACTATCGGAAACTAACAATAATGTATTCACAAATACCAAGCAATATACTCACTCAAACGCCTCACATATTCTTACCATGGTACAGAGGGTACCTGTTAGAGCTTGAGAACATTCTTCGCCAGATCGATTGCCGGATAACAATGCCTTACTGGGATTGGAGTATAGACGCCGCGCATTGGACCCGAGATTCTGAGATCGAAGATGTGTGGAATTCAGGCCCCCACGGTCTGGGAGGCAATGGCGTCTTCCCCGACATGTGCGTAATGGATGGTCCGTTTAAAAAGGGTGAATTCTTCCTACCCTGGTATGCCAGTGGAGGTTGCTTGAAAAGAAACTTTAATCAATCTTGCAACTTACCAAACGCAGAAGATGTCCAAACTCTCCAAGAAAAAGAAAACTTTACTGTCTTTGTGGAAGTAATTCGTGAAGTTTTCCTTTGGAAAATTCGGGACTGTGTTGGTGAGAGTATGCAAAATATTTTGACGGCCACTTTCACTCCAGAGTTCTGGCTTCATCATACTTTTATCGACAAACTTTGGGCAAAGTGGGAGCGTCATATAATTGAAAGGCAGCTAGTGCATTACCGAAATACAACCTTTAAAATGCCGGGGTTAGAAAGGTTTGCGTGGGAATATATGTCACTCAACACGTTGCCGGGTGGTGTAATCGTGGTGTATGAAGAATAGATTTAAAATGGATGGTTGAATTACGATCTTTGATCACGTATTAGTCGGAAATAATCACTAAATAGAGTTTAGACAGGTAAAAGTTTATGACAAATGTATTTGACAAAGCCGATAATCACTCGGCTCGAGTAATCCCTTAAGGGTGATGTTAGCGCAACACAGCGTTACAACGTTGTTGCGACATCGTTTCGAAAGGCTGCAACATTGTTCCAACATTTGCACCCCGTGTTGAGCTAAAAATCGTCGTTGCGAATCGTCTCGAGTAACATCACCTTAAGGGAATTCAGCAATGTAACGGAACATGAAAATTAACCATATTAAGTGAATAAACTGATAAGTTTCAAACTGATCTAAGATAATAATGGGGATGTTAACTATTGCCAACACACTTCCTTCTTCTAGTGATAATCCGGGGGAGGGGGGTACCTCCTTATTAGAGCCTAATGGGGAAGCGCCGCTGGATGGGGTCGCATTTTCACGACTGGAATGATTATAATGGGGTGGCATTTTCAATAGAGCTACTAGAATGGTGGCGCACATTTTCTGATTTTTGGGGTACGACAGTTCTTCATATTTTAGCAAACTTACCAGAATGTTTGTAACTTGGAAGTGTGACAGTGTTCTTCATTCGATACAAGGTAGATACATATATAGAAAGTGACTAAAATGCGATCTTGAAAATTACATATTTGCCCAAAAGTCACTAAGATGGGGTCTATAGTTTGTCACCGAATAGACTATAATGGGGTAGGGGCTCTGAGAAGCCAGCGGCACATATACCCAGTGAAATTGAACCCAAGTACCGCCCCCCCCCCCACCGGGTGATAATGCGGTAAATATCTCTCTTGTTCAGTTGCAGTTTTGATACCATGTCAGCTTTAGCGGACAGTTTACACCAATTTGGTCCCACCCAAGGTTTTTGAAAGAGTGTTTTCAATGATTTATAGTACAGTAGACTCCCGATAATTCGAACCTTCAAGGGAAACAGAAAAAAGTTCGAGTTATCGGGAGTTCGAGTTGTCGAGGGTAAAATTATATAGTAAACGTTCTGAAGGGAAATTAAAATTGCTTCGAGTTAGCGGGAGGTTCGAGTTATAGAGGGTTCGAATTATCGGGAGTCGAATGTACTTAAAAACAAAAAAACTTCATGTAATACTGAACTGCGACGGCAATGAGAACAGTAACAAAATCAATAGATCAATTAACCAAAAAACAAATTTGCACGAGCAGCAAACTTTTTTGAACATTCCTTTGCCGCTGTTTTGCAGGACTACAATGCCGTTTTGTACGACTTAAACGTGAAACTTTTTAGTTACACACTATTTTTTTTATGGAATTGTCGTAAGTGCTCACCAAAAGTTTTGTTGTTTGTGTTCCCGTTGTCTTTTGTTTTTTTTCTTTCACTGCCGCCCATTTTTACCGCGTTGCTGGCCGCTGGCATTTCTCATTTTCTCACCACAGCTATGAAATTCTCATGTTTTTCTTCCAACGAAATTCATCTCCTTTGTTTTTAATCACTCGCTCTAGGTCTTTCCCTGTTATCCACGTGAATGTAGACATCAAAAATAACGTCGAAAAAGACTCGACTTTCTTATTGTTTTTTTTTTCTCTAAAAGTCCAGGTGGCCATGCGATTTCCCGCCAGAAACACCTCTAGTTGTCTGTGGCGTCATACCTGTTAATCGAGTTATTTTACAATGTATGCCTGTGGTGCGGACGGCGGACGATCGTGCGTACGGTCACGTAATTACCAAAATTTCTAGGATGGATGGATTACCAAATTTTCTTAGGTATGGGGCTCTACTCGCGCGCGTTTCCGCTCGGAGTCGAGCTCCAAATGTTAGGTAGTGGGGGTTCCCACGTGCCGCAAAAATGCCTGCATGGTTGTGGCCTCATTGTGGCAATCATCTTCATGCCTGCAGATCTTTCGAAGCGGTAAGAACTGGACAATTTACCCTTTGATGGGTGTGACGACCCAAAATTGAGATAAGAATAGCCACCAGTGCCTTTGTAATAGATGAACGTTGATATGTGGTCTTCACGGGCAATCATGTAAATGTCCAGGAGTTTATCGCATGAGATAGACCAGCTTAGGATGGTAATTCGAAGCAAAAATCCAGAAACTGCTATTTGCCATGTTCGCTAAAATAGGCTGCGCCCGCTAAGTCGTCCATATATCACTTATTCAGCACGGGCCTCCTCCTGGTTTACTCTTCCAACATCCTCTCTTCGACGTAGCCTAAGAGTTTTTTTTAAATTACTGATTGGTTATCTCTTTTCTGAAGTTTTTATCATTTTTGTTTGTTTGTTTTTTGCACTTTTTAATATTTTCATATTTGTATATGGACCACAATGAAAACTACTAGAATTCCAGTAATGAGTCCTTATTATTGTCATTATTGCTAGTCTGCTACCCATTGCCACGACAACCACGGAGCTTGCAATATTCGCCCTTACACTCAAAGGTGTTGAGGGTCAGCACCATTTCAGCCATGTTGACAAGAGTATTGGTATGTGGGTCTTTGACTTTCCTCTTTCCTCTTGTCTTGAAAATACCTCACCGCCACCAAACCTTCATCATAGGCCATTTGCACCAAGTGGTCATGTGACATCGTTTTTATGAAAACGAAAGTTATATGATTTTGACTTCAAAAAACGACTAGCGGGTCATATCTTAAACAAAATAATAGTGATTTGCTTCAGTTTCAAACCCGCACCATTTTGAAAATGAGTAAGTTCGTAGCCGGTCACATGACCAAAATGTGATTTTGAAAATTATAAATTACCTCTTTCTGTACACAAATTTTGCACAAGGAAAATGTTGAAAAGATGATGTGGTAACGTTTACAGCACATCTGAGCGTAATTGTCAAACGTTTAACAAGGTAAAAACAAAAAGTAGTTTCGGTCGCCATGTTGAAGGGCAAGAGTATGCTCTCCAACATGGCAGCCAATACAAATCATATTACTTTGTTGAAAAATCAAAGTGCCATAAAATATCTCCCTTAAATGCATTTCCTCTCAAATTTCGGGTGTAAGATAATTTTTATGTGCTCTGTCAATTTTTGGCATCAGCAAGATTCCAACACATTGTTTAAAGGAAGTATTCGTCACGTGACCTCTTAGTGCTAGTGGCCTATTGGATAGATTAAGTATCGCGTTTACGGCGAACGGCAAACGTGAGATTCCAGTTGAGAAAGTTTCAAAATGAGAAATAAGCAGATAAAAACAGCTTAAAACAATTGTTACGGAACCGATAGAAGTGGCGTGAATCTAACAATTTTTGTGTAGTTATAATAAACAGTAAACGGTAAGTAAATGGAAAACTTGGTCACGTGGTACAAATTCACGTTTGCCGTAAATGTGATGCTTAATCTCTCTAATAGTAATGACGATGTAAAGTCATTTGATGTCCGTCGTTAACACCAAGCGGAGCCATAGTCAGGGGCACCCAACGAGAATATAGTTCAAAACCACTTTAACATAGCATCGTTAAACGTATTTTAGTATTTACACGGTAGATGTAGGCATATTTTTATCCCCTAAAAATATTTCATCTGTTCGGATTTCCTAGCTGAAAGACTAGTGATCCGAAAATTATAGGGATCCGAACTCACCTTTTCGAAAATTTCAGCCAGAAAAAAGGCTCCCTAAAATTCTAGGTGACCTTTATAGGGTAAAAATCCGTTAAAAATGGGCAATTATACCATTTTTTAGATGTTCGAAAATCCTAGGAGAGGCAGGCAAGCAAGAAATTTTACAACAAATGTTCGAAAATCCTAGATCTCAAATCGTCTTCTGAACGGATATTTTTCGAAAAGTGACGTTGGGTGCCCCTTCAAAGTTAACGATAAGTAAGGGAAAGCTTGGACACGTGGCACAAATTGACGTTTGCCGCTTGCCATAAACCTGATTCTAAATCTCTCTATTACGTTCCAGAGACAGTCAGACACTAGACAGTCAGACACTGCTCTTTCGTAGCCTGAGAAAACAGCCCACATTTCGCGACGCCACCCCTGGTTTCCCCACGAAATGACGTCTGAGGAACGTGCGCAGAAATTCCACACCGATGACGTGTCACTACCCAGATCTGGCTAGTACTTCTGTTTGGTTGAAGCAATTTTCACATGCGGCACGGCCAATCACAAGTATTACCCAGATAGGGGAAGTGACACATCAACAGTATGGAATTTCTGCGGTCATTCAATCCTTAGACGTTATTTTACGGAGAAACCAGACGTAGTGTCGCGAAATGTGCGCTGTTTTTTCAGGCTACGTGCCCAGGAGCCACCATCACAAGTGAAATAGAGAGTACAGGGAGCCATGAGAAGGATGAAAAGGCGAATCGCCCAGGAAGAGTCAACATGCAAGAGAGGATAAAGGGGACAGAGAAGGCATCCCTCATACACACCCTATTCCATAGGTAATTCGTCTCGAGTTATTTTTAGAATCGGGATAAAGTTACCTCGCGCGCTGCGTGGATGGTCGTGGAGGTTTCGCATGACTAAACGCCATGCAAAACATGTCGGACGAAAGGCAATGAAAGCCTAAAGAGATCAAGAGCATTCCTGAATATTGACGCGAAATGAGTCGGCGCTCACCTGGGAAAGGGAGTCGATAGACTCTTTGACAAGCCGTGAAATCAGTTTAACTCGAAGTTGCCCTAACCTCAGTGCTTTAATAAAATGAAAAATTTCGCCGGCCGATTGAAACCGGTCATTTGTATAAAGCAAATAGGACGCCAAGTGTTATTTTTGTTGAATAATAAAGGACTAATAAAAGAATAAATATCAAACCAGAAATTGCTCTCTTCAAACTGTAAATTATAAATGATCCTGAGAGAATATTCAGTGTGTTAAGTATTTCCCTGCTGTACTGTTAGCTCTATACAAGAGAGGAAGGGCGATTCTTTTTTAATTTGCGTTTCGCTGGCACAGCTTTAGCAGAAATCTCTCTATAGTAGTTTTCGTCGACAAAACGAATAGCAATATCGCTCTCCGCG